ATATATATGCAACGCAGAATTAATACTTTCTAGCCTCGAACGAAGAGGTTATAATCATTTACCATTTTAGTAGTGTTAATTTTTCAGAGATCGATATACTCTATTTCCCCTCGTAATCATGGGAGCATATTAGAATCGTATTTCGTGCCAGGGGCTGCCTCAATTCCAAAATCCATAAAAAAGTATTTTAAATTCTTGTCATAATGGTGAAATTTTCAAGTTTGCATTTCATCAAAACCCAATCCGAGATAAACGTCCAATATACCAACAGATAAAACAACAAATTACTTTCTGGCTTTTATTTTTCTCTGTTTTAAAATTAATGAATGTTTGAATTTATTTTTACCCTATACCTAATAAATCATTAATAGTATTCGCTCTCCCTCATTTCATCAAGTTATATCGCATATTAAAGCATTATTTTTCACCAGACAGGTAACCATTTTAATTGTTTTCTCACAAGGATTCTTAATTTGAAAGGTAATATGTTTATCTATAGGGCGTCCGGTTTAACATTATTAGAAAGTGGGAACAGAAATATTTTCATGATTTTCCTTTTTTTTAAAAATATATATAGTTTTCCTTCAGTTATAACTTAATGCGTTCAATGAAATGAATTTCTCTTATATGGCACCATAAACTCGAGAATTTAACTATTGTCAACATAGTTATTACTCATTTTGTTAGGTTGTTTGAAGTAATAATTTAAGTACCGTAAACCGGGGCGAGTCTACCCATCCAGAGGCGAGTCTACCCATTTTAGTTTTATTTAATTTTCACTATTTTAAATTGCAAATAAAAAAATTTTTACCGACGGAGGACTTAGTTCAGACTCTAAGGAAGATGGCGCTGTAGTAGTTTGATCCGTTTTTATTTATTTGGTGTCTTTTTAAACGACCTGTTCAAACGACTTTTGAGAGATTTGTATTGAAAATCAGCTAATTTTTAGTTGGTGCTCCGTAAGTATATTATTATTATTACTATTTTCACTTTGGGTAAGTGATAATCTTATCTAAGACTAAGATTACATTAATTTTATATGAAAAAATCCAAAAAGAATGTAAGTTTTGCTGTTGTAAACAAAAAGCCAGAATTCGCGGGGCTAGTCTACCCATTCGTATTTAGTTTTAATAAAGCATAATAATATGATTTAAAACTTTGTTTATATTAAAATTAAGTCATTTTAAATGAATTTGAGTATATTATTTTAATTCTGCATTGATAAATTTATCATTAATTGATAATCGATCAAATACTCTATTTGTGTTATTTCATGAATAAAAAAAATGGAATGTATAATAAAGTTATGAATTTTACTTCATAAATATCCTATATAGTAACTAAAATAACAATTTAATAGTTATATATTTGGCGATAGTANTTACAATGTTAACATTCATTTTACCAGAATGGGTAGACTCGCCCCATACGAGAGATTTGTCAGCAGTTCTATAAAAATATACAGTAACAGCGTAACTGTTAATATTTTCTAAAATCGATTTCCCAGCTTTAAAGAGGGATAAATCGCGATTCCGAAACACCTATTAAAAGTCTTTTTTCTTTAATATTTCCAAAAGTTTGACAATTTTAAAGTTGACAAACTGAAAAAATGGGTAGATTCGCCCCGGTTTACGGTAGTGAAAAGCGTATTAAAGTAAGTAGTGATTTAAGTAGTATTTGTTTAAATTCATTTTGTTAGATAGTCCTAAATGATGATTTAAGTAGTGTTCAATAATCATTAAGGTATCAGACTAGTTTCGCCAATTTTTCGTTTAAATATTAATATAAAAACTAGTTTTTTGTTTAATTATGTGTAAAAACTGATAAAACTATCCATGAAAATCATTATTATTTTATTTTTGCTTTTTAAAAGGTCATTTTTAGGTAAAAATAAGGCATTTTTTAACATATACACTAAACACTGTAAAAAAAATTTTATCCCCCAAAACAAAAAACTCCTCTGAGAAGGCTATTTATTCGAAAATATTTAAAGGAGCCGTGGTGGCTCAGGAGATAAAGCGTTCGCCTTCGAATAAGGTGAACCCGGTTCGAATCTCATCAATGCTTGATCGATGCGAGTTCCGCACCCGGCTCGCACCGACCACAATGATGACATAAAATATCCTCAGTGGTAGACGACTCATGGGTTTAAGTGCCCTTGCCGTTAGTCTAACCATTGAACGTTTTTGATGTTTTCCTCTCCATGTAGCGCAAATGTGCGTTAGTTCCATTAAAAATCCCTCCATGAAGGCTAATTTCTACCAATACTTGATCCAGGAATTTCCTTGTTTTCTGGTTTGGGTTGAAAATTTCAACACTACGCAGCTGAACATTAGTAGTCGTAAATCTAAAACTGGGTCGGCTTGGGTGACGGTTACAAAATAAAATATTGGAAAAAGAAAACAATTTCTCGTGCAACTGAGCTCAGCTTTTTTTTTTACATTTTAAGTGTGACAAAAATAACCATTTTTCATCCATGTGATTAGCCGCATCAATATAGTCAACAGTCTAAATCATTTAAATCGTACTTTACTGCATGACTTTTTTTCTTATTTTGATGTCTTTCAGGTTGCTTTATTTTTCGATTTGGAAGCATGTATTTAATTCATCGCATTATAGCGGGACGAAAAAGGGCATTACCACCCACTGACGATGGTAAAATACTCTTCATGTCTGCAACAGAATTAGCTGAAAAAATTCGCAATAGAGAAGTAATAATTCATACGATTTTTTTTCTTCATTTATTACTATTATTAAAAAACTGCATAAAATCATATTTTAACAACTGCCGGCCAGATGGCCGAGCGGTTAGCGTGCTTGACTGCGAGGCCATAGGCTGCGGGTTCGAATCCCGCTCTGGGCATGGATGTTTCTCTCTCTCTTTGTGCTGTCCTCTGTTGCGTGTGTGTATGATGTGTGAATGAGGCCCACCCTATAAACGGGTTTGTGGCAGTGTGGCGTGGGCAATGTTGCTCGCCTCCGTGACTTTGGTTCACAGGTGCCCACTGGGTAACACGAAATGAGCAACAATTCTGGCATAGTATAGGCAAAGATTCAAATTCAGTGCCCGCCATTGGAAAAAAAAATATTTTAACAACTAGCTCGAAATACATGCATTATAAGTTTGAAAAGGAGAAATTAAGTTTAAAAGGATTACGTCTTTTATAATTGGGTACTTGAACTTCAAGAAGAAGATCACGGATACCCACACATTTGACCTAAGACGTCAGTGCCAGCTGATCGTTTGCAAGGAAAATGGCTCATTAAAGTGGAGCTTAACTTCTCCACAGAAGTTACAATGTTAATTAAAGTGAATTTAATTAAATGCAGCGTCATACCGCACAACGAGTTGGTTGAAATAACGTTCCTTCTCTCCTACGTCTTATACTTAACTTAGATTCATTATTTGTTTATGTATTTTACTGTAACGATGATATATTTTTGCTTCGTGTTCCTAGTAACTTCGATGGATAATTATTTTGTTTACATGACTTCGTGCCTGTCTTTGGGTTAAGTAAAAAATATACAGTAAAATAATTGAAATATTTATGAAAGAATAAAGAATGTGTCACTTAAGAGAATCGATACTTGACGGATGTGGTTTTCACGAAATAAAATGGAAAGAACAGTTGCTAACGTAAACAAACGCCACGTTTCTACAACCAATCAGGATCGAGATACTCACACTATGTTGCTTGCAGGTACCCCATTTTATTTCTAATTTAGGATATTTTTATTTAAAAATTTAAAGAAAAATATATAGTATTTACATCATTAGCAGCGAGAACTATTAAAAAAAGCAAATAAGTTTTTAAACTTACGAGATAAAGAAGTTAAAAAAAAGGAAACAAGACATTTATTTAAATCACGAAACATTTCTATTCACCAACAGTGTGATATTATCTTAATTTTGAAATTACTGAAGTTTCCAATGCATTAGGTCAAATGAATCACAGTAAAAGCGATCAGTTTCAAAAAAAATTTGTTAAAAGCTTAAGAAAAAAAAATGTTTAGAAGTAACTTAAAATGTATAAAATTTATTCTTGGATCATAAAAATGTGTTTGAAGAATCATAGAACTGNTAAAAGCGATCAGTTTCAAAAAAAATTTGTTAAAAGCTTAAGAAAAAAAAATGTTTAGAAGTAACTTAAAATGTATAAAATTTATTCTTGGATCATAAAAATGTGTTTGAAGAATTCATAGAACTGATTTCCTCAAACTTATCATTATTATTATTATTAGTTTTTTTTTTTTTTGAAATCACTGTACTTCAACATTCATAAAGGCACGTAATAACTTGGTCGATTACTATCCGTAAATATGCGAAGCAACGCAAACTGAAAAATTAGCGAAATAATGAATCTACGAATAGAAGTATTAAAAAGACTGAATATTAGCGAACTAGAGAATTAGCATATTATTGAATCCCATTGAACAATTAAATGGGAGCCAGTTTACGAATCATCAGTACAGAACGATTTTATTGTACACAAATTTGCTTATGATTATTATTTTTTTAAAAAAAACTTTATAAACCATTAATTTATAGTACAGTAGTCCATGAGAAAAATTATTAATTCCAATTAATATGCGCAACTTTACAATTGAAATGTGCAGATGCGATGCGATCATATTTTAAGAGAGTTCAAGAAGCGCAATCAATCATCAATGCAATCATCGATGCCGGCTACGGACGTACACTCAAAGAAGCGATTCTAATAGATAAATTTTAAAAAAAAATCGAAAACTCCAGAAGAAATTTAAAAAGATACCCTTCTTTCAGGTGTTCCTTTTACTTGCATGGAAAGAAGAGGGACTCAATTCTGTTTGAACTTCCATTCAATTCCACTTGCATGCATGGAAGGAATTGAATGGACGTCAGTTTATGAATTAAATCATCAGTGCAAAGTGAATTTATTAAGTACGAATTAGTTTTTGATCAAATTTTGAAAAAAAAAACTTTTGAACTATTCTATTAAGGTACTGTAGTCAATGAATTTTTTTAAAAATCATAACGGCAATTAATCTGCACCATTTTACAGCTGAGATGTGAAGACGTGATACGATCTTATTATAAGAGAGCTCAAGAAGTGCAGCCCATCATCAATGCAATCACCGATGCCAGATACGAAAGTGCACTCAAAGAAGCGAAGCAGATCGATACATTCTTAGAAAAAGACTCGAAATCTCCAGAAGAAATTAAAAAACGGGCCCCTCTTTTAGGTGTTCCTTTCACTTGCAAGGAAGTATTAGGAATAGAAGGTAAGTTGAGTCATTATACTAATAAAGAAAAAATAAGTTCTTTTCGAAGTTGCCGCAGATTTTATTCAGACATAAAAAAATGGCTTTATTACATTCTTATTGCATTATTTTTAATACTAGGAGACTTCGCCCCCTGCTCGCTAACGCTCGCCAACCCCCGAGAATTGCTACGCAATCCTATGTGGTTCACGCCGTGAACCATGGATCGCTGCGCTCGCTCGCCAATGAACACAATGTTCTAGCACAAAGACATAGTATATTATCATCAAAGACATAGTATTTTATCATCAAAGACATAGTATTGTACTTATGTAGAAGAATTCTACCAATGTTCTTATTGGCTTTTAAAAAAGTATATTAGCTATTTATATTGTACATGGTGAAAAAATTTTATTATTTAAAAATATAAACTTTAAACCCTAACTTTCGCTTGTGAGATAATAACCCTCATAATAAAATAATAATAATTTTTGCAGCAACTCGGGAATGTCCATTAGTGTAGGCAAATTAATTTTTCCACCGTGGCAGCATTTCGTATACAGCTTCACTAATATTCTGCATTTTAAAGCGTGAAAATTCAATGCATAAATAAACGCGAAATATAATAAAATTCAATGCATTCAAACACTTAGACGTTTTTTAGACGTTTAGGTAGCTCCCAGTAGAAAAATATCAATTCAACAGCGGCCTTTTAAAGCATTCTCACTTCAATTAATTAATTAATTCCTAATTGAGTTTAAATTAAATATTATCATGTTTTGGGTAGACTATATTTGAGGGTGCCCCTTGATTCTCGCCAAGCTGTGATCGCAGTTGATCGCCAAGCTGGGCGATGTTGAAACCCAATCGTGATTCTGATTGGTTTAGATTTTTGCGTTATTTTTAAATGTTCAACGGTATATGTAATTTCAGAGGTACGTTAGTTCTACGTTGAATACCGGCTGGTAAGGTTACTTTTGAATCTGGTCACTAAGATCAAAAGTATGTGGGCAGTCATAAAAAGGGATTTAAGAAAAAAATGTCACCGCTAGTCCGGTATTACAGACGCCATTTTTGATTCGTATTTCATCAAATTTATGTGGCGATGGAAGTACACAGATTCTATTCATGATAAATTTAGACAGTATCCAACTGTTATTAGATAATTCTGTGCACCTAAATCTGAGAATATTCAAGCTTAATAAAGAAGTTAGTTGTTTTCTTCCTTTTCTTTCTGCTCCTACTCCATTAATTTTTGCTTCGATTCAAAATCTTTTTATTGGGTTTATTAATTTTGCTTATATTGGGTTTATTGCAAGCTTTGGCCGATGTTTTGTTTAAATTTTCCAATGTTTTATTGAAATAACATTATGTTTTGGCAGCCATTCCTGTTATCACAATGTTTCGCGCAACAGGAATAGCGCCGGACATAGGTCGCCAATTTCGCCAATTTCGCCAATTTCGCGCAATTTCGCCTCAAGTATATTTTTCCCTCATGTTTTTAGGGCATGAATCTGAATTAAACAACCTGATAATGCTCACTCTGGTTATTGTTTCCGTTTTTAAAAGCGCTATATGTTGAGCCACAAAAACATCTAGATTTGCCATGTGACATTTTTAGCAGCAATCATTGGTCGATTTTCTAACGTTGCCATTCGGGGAGTTGTAATGAGGCTTTTTTTTGGTGCCGTGTAAGAGAAATATATATATAGATACTCCAATTTCTACGACACTTGTAATAGCTGAAGGTTTGTTCACTATTTTTTGTTTTTACTATAGTGAGGTGATCAGTTGAGTAATAATTTTGTTTCTTATGTTCACAAAAGTTATAGTTATGAGTAATTCTTTTCTTATTGTAATTTCTAATATTATTATTAATTCTGTTAACATCAGTATATTATTATTATTTTGCTAATATTTAAAAATAAACTTTGAAATCAGTATCGCGAAAATTAGTCTCGTAGTGGGATCTTTATTTAAATTTCATGTCTGTTGTACCAGACAAATTCAGGCGATTTGACCATGTTCAATATCTGGTCCCTTTTTCACCTTAACAAAGGCTGGTGCCTCTTCACTTTCATTGATACCTTCAGGCATCCTGCCAGGTCTTTAAAAATGATGAAATAGTGAACATTATGTATTAGGGTGGAGAGTTATCTATGAGAAGTTATCTATGAACTATGAACTATCTATCTTCTAGAAGTTATCTATGAACTAGTATATCACTCGTGGTTACTTCTTAGAATTGTTTTGCACCATTTTAATTCCTCTCAAAAACTTTAAAATTTTGAAAATCTTTTGAAAAAATAGCCAATTTTTTTAAATTTTTGAAAGTTTTCATATGAAACCAATTTAACACTCAAAAGTTGTGTATTAAACAAAATATTACTTGTGAATTGTTTCAGAATTTTTCAGCAATATTTTCACTTCTTGCAATAGCTGCAAAAATTATGAAGCTTTCCAAAAATTATACAATTTTTCAAAACTTATAAAATTTTTCGAAAATTATAAAATTTTGCAAAATTTACAAAACATTAACAAATTACAGAATTTTTAAACATTGTCAGAGCAAAATAAAAGCATTGCAAATGTTGCATAGTTACTAAAATATTACTTATGAATTGTTTTGAAATATTTCTAGTTCATTTTTCTCTCTACTCAGTAACGGTTAGTAGAGTTTTTTTTAGCTTTTTTCATATAAATAATACTAATGTGACGCTTATAAAATTGCAACTAAAAGTAAACAAGAGAGAGAAAACAAAAGAGTTTACCATAACTTCAAAATTGTAGCATTGATGATTGATTTATACTTGATATAAAATCATGTTACAACGTACATTTTCATATGAAAGGAAGCTAATTCCGTTAAATTGGTCGATGGATCTGAGTTACTTAAGTAAACTCAAAGCACTTTGTTTGAGATAGTTTGATTATCTTGCATTCGAAAGTTTCTCAAGGCTTAATGACACCGAACTTAGTGGGCATTTACCAGAAATTGTTTTTTGGCTTATATTCATTAAATACTTTTGATCTGTACAGAGATCTGAAATGTCATATTCTCTAATTTCTAGCGATTTTTTTTCAAGCTCTTGAAACTTATTAGTGAAAGGTGCTCGCAGATGACCAAACTCTTGCGAATTGGTCTGGAAAATCCTTGAGGACTCACTGTAATACAGTCCAAGTAATTCATTTTTATGCCTTAGTGATAGCACATTTGAGTGAAACTCGCCTATCATCAACTGCAGATCTTTTTCAAACTCCTTTTAAACAGACAAATGACACCTTATTCCATATATTTACCATAGTTCTATCGCAGTTAAATCAATTACAGTAAGTTGAGAAGCCTCACTTAATAGACAATTCAAAATAGATTCCTTTCTATCAGACACTGAAGGAGTTTGTGAAAAGATGTGTCCAAGTTGCATATGCTCCTAGTTCTTGAATAGTCGATATACATATTGTTATATTTTATACCTGCCATGGGAACGACCCTCTTTTGCCTCCCTCTTGACCAACGTTTTGTTTCTTCTGCCTTCAAAATAACTATCATGAAGTTGATTTCCTATACTGCTACTTGATTCCACAGATCTTGTTTTAGTTTTCTACTTCTGTCTATAATGATTAAATAATCTTTGTATTGCATTACTTCATCTTTCATTTTTCATCTTTCTTCGTTTTCGCTCTGTAAATCATGTGATAATGCTACCGCGTGGCAGCACCATGTCTATTCTGAATGCCATAGCTGGCACATATTCTAAGAAATGTCCCAAGTTTAATTCTGGTATGGGGTGTGACTGAGGTTGAAGGTGGTGGAGAATCTGAGAACTATGGTACTTTCCTGACATCGAATTCGAAGTTTTCAGAATGAACTTTTTTGCCTTATTTTGTAAAAAAATCTTTCAATTTCGCTCGTTTTCCTGCAATTTGGAAACTTATGCTTCGCTTAGAACAAGATTCATTGTTTATCTTTCCATATTTTTAATTAGTTGTTCAAACACTCGTAAATTAGTAGAACCTATATTACAGTATGGTAATCATGAAAAAAATCTTGCGCTTTAGATGAACTTTCCTTACTTTTTTACGGCTGCAATGTTCATGGTGAATGCACTCAGTGGCGTACGCAAGGGAGGGGTTTAGGGGTTTGAACACCCCCCTTGAGCTCAGACAAAATGGCAAAAATAAAAATTTTAGTAGAAATTATGCTTAGTAGCTATTATTTTTTAAGACTATATATTTTTATTTGCCTCATGCCATTTTTTTTTCTTTTGGTATTTCTCAGAATACTGTAAAAACATTTACTACACATTATAGGGTTGTACTTTTGAAACCAAATTCGCGTGATACTGTTACGGACTGGTTCATTTCTGTCCTGCCAGTATAGTTTTCGAGACTAGCTGTCATTCGCGAGGTCTTAACGCGATGATTCTGGAATCCTAAACGTTCTGTCGTCTTAGAGACAATTCGAGAATATAAGAGATGTGGTGAAAAATTATATAAAAGGGTGAACGGAGTATAGTGGAGTAAGTTAGCCAGACTAAGAGTTATCTCTGCCGCTTGTCTTTCGGAGCTTGTCGCTAAATCTGTTTTGTTTTGTCTTAACAAAAAGTTAATTCAATCGCAGAACCCGTCGTCGCCACTATTTCGACTAGTGAAAAAATCAGTAACAGTACCATTGGAGATACTGTGCTCGTCGAAGTTATTCATTCCAGCTCGAAATTTTGAGATCATAGCATAGCGGATATCTCTGTGCCAATATATATATATATTTGCTGTTCTTGGATCTTTAGGGTGTCAAAGCGCAAGAATTTAAAATTTTTTAATTATTTTGAGAAAAAAATAACGACCTGAAATAAGTGAGGTGACAGCATCTAGTACCAATGTAAGTTATTCTGTTGTACAGAAATGTGATACTTCCGTTGAAGAAAACGTTTCTAGCATAACAAAATCTGATGAATGTGAAAGTGGACCTCAAAGTGTTACTTCCCACCCATATGACATTATGTTCTTAAACTTAAAAAATCAAATCAAAATTTAACTAAACAATGTTGTCTAAATAAAAAGTCTAAATTAGGGAAATAATAGTGCTTTATTACAGACTCGAATTTCTTTTAGTAGTTTCAGAAAATTACGAACACCCCCCTTGAAACGCCACTGAACGCACTCAACGATATCAAAAAGTCGATCCGTGTCTCTTGTGAAAACGTTAACTTCAGTCATAAACATGGGTATTTATTTTTGGTGCAGTTTTAAAATTGTCTGTATTATGTTCTCGTTTTATCAAAGCAGTGATTCTTCTCCGATGTAGGAAAGGAAGTTCTATGCCAAATTTACATTCACTTTCTTTTGCAAAGAGCGTTGTTATTCTCGGTTAATGTTTACAGTACTTACGAAATTACCTTGCCGGTTTTCTTCTGACGCGAATATTTTTTATTCTAAAATGAATCAGTAACGTATCGCCATGATACAGAAAATTATTGTAAAAATTTTAAATTTCAAGAACATTGCAGGGAAGGAAAGTAGGGTAGAAAAATTTTGGAAAAAAAGTCACTAGCAATGTAATATTTAATACATAAAATGTGAGAGGTAATTTGTTTTTTATCTGACAAGTTTTGAAAATTTGAAAAATTTACAAACATTTGGTGCTTTTTGAAAAATTTTGAAATTTTAAAACTTTTGCTAAAAATGAGGATAATGCGTAAAAATTCTGAAAAAATTTACGAGTGATATACTAATCCATATACAACTTTTGAGAAGTAGTGTTTTTCAGTTATCCAAAACTTTTGTTTTCGCTCCATCCTATCATGTATTAGTTCTTTATGTTTTATCATTGTATCAGAATACCTTCTGGTATTGTGATGTCGGAACAAACAAAGTTCACATCAATTTACCTTCAAAGGTGGCATGATTAGTGCCCTACATACGCATAACCAAGAATACGTCACAGAGCCATTAGTCAAAAGGCAATATAGTTGGTTATCGTCATATATAATTGTTATATCTTACTTTTGAATAGAGAAAAAAAAGTATATTTAAGGAATCAAGAATGATTTTTAAAAAAAATAATTGCGTTGTGAGAACATTTAACTTTAACTAACAAAATTTATCAGATATAACAAGTAGAAGNCTAACAATAATGATTACGTAAATATATACTTCAGATGAGACTTGTTAAAGTTAACCACAGACAGCAAAGAGGAAAAAAAAAACATCAAATGAATCCCTTAAACTGACGAAAAATTCGGAATTTTTCATTTTTGCTATTGTTGAAAGCTATTCTTGCTATTGTTTAAAAATTGTCTCGAAAAAACCTCACCTTTTATAAAGAAAGCCTATTTTACAGAACATATATCCAATCCCTTTCATGAACCTCCAGTTAATAACAGTCTCATTGAAAAATGCAGTATTTATTCTCATATAATGGATACAAAAATCGAGAATGATGCATTACTTCTAAAGATTTCCTCACTCTTAAAGAAAGATCGGTGCAATAGAGGTTTTTTCATTAAGTATCCTTTATAAAACATTGTTTAAAACATTTGTCTGCTTTTGAAGTTATACTTCTTACGCGACTTCCAACAAGGTTGCGTTAAACGATTAACGCTACATTTTTATTGGCCGGGAAATCACGTGGTAGGATGCAGTTTTCCCTCATTCATTTCCATATTGTTTTGGTTCTCACTAGCATAAAAATAATAAAAGTATGGTTTTTCTATAAATATTTTTTTAGTTTG